TAGGTTGTGTCCAAGTCATACATAGTCAGAAGGAATTAGATTATTACTGGGCCCTTTTGTCTTTAATATCTCAGCTAGGTGTTTTTCTAGTGTTCAGATAGTGCAAGTAGTCTTGGAGTTATTTATCACAGAGGCAGCCATTTGCTTTGGATTTGTGGTAGCAGATAGTAATTAGGTACTTACATAAACACACCACTCATTATGGTTATGAGTACTTCACTATGCTGAGAGGTCTTGCTACTCTCTTAATACTCTAATTTTTAGTGTTCTAATAAAAGTAGTTTTTGATCTGTCAGTTAACAAATTAACCATTAGAAGGTATCATGCATCATTTTATTTGTTAGGAATTTTCTCTTTTTTTCAGGACTAACCATTGCCATAGTGATAGCTTTGGTACCAAGCATATACAGAGTTGACTATTCTGCTCTCGGAAATTTCTTGGACACCGTGGTTACTTCTGACTCTCAGGATTGGATTCCAGCATTTAAGGAATTGTTAGAGAAGGTATTCACAGGACTACTTGGTGGGAATATGTGGTAAGAGAGAGGCTGCAGTGTATTTCATTAGTATTATTATTTTCCCTAGGAGTATTTCTATAACCCTGAAAGGATATACCATTAATTTGATCTAATATATTTGTGGCATATCAGTGCACTAATTAGCTGCTTCTGCCTACCCTGATTCAGTTTACAGAAAAATTTGGTTGTGATTTTTGAATCTACAGATCAAATTGTACATTATGAGACTTACAAACATCACAATCTTTTATCATTTAGGACATGGTACACTTTCTCTTCACTTGCTGTTATGGATTAAATAAAATGATTTGAGTTTATCCCTTTTTGCTATACCTTGTCCTTATGTGTACCTGTTTTTGACGTACTCCATTAGAAGGACTAATTTCATATTAATCACTTTTGATTAAACCTTCTGATATATGTGATGAGTAAATGATAACCCCTTTTGATAATGCAGTCTGTAATTATTGAGCTCTAAAGTTAAAATACAAATGTTTCAGGTCTGCAGTTGTAATTCTGTTGAGCTCTATTAATAGACTCTGCCTGGCTGGAGGATTTTTTTTCTTATTGTCTGTAGCAGAGAGAACCTTCAAGCAGAGATTTCTCTATGCCAAACACTTCTGCTACCTTACGTCTGCCCGCCGAGCTAGGTAAGCATACTTCTGTGGTAAAAATCGTGTTTGGGTTTTATGATAAAGTTCAACGTTTTAAAGAGACTGTGTGTGTGTGTGTGTCTTTGTTTTTGTTTGTGTATTGTGTGTGTGTGTGTGTGTGTGTGTGTGTGTGTGTGTGTGTGTGTGTGTGTGTGTGTGTGTGTGTGTGTGTGTGTGTGTGTGTGTGTGTGTGTGTGTGTGTGTGTGTGTGTGTGTGTGTGTGTGTGTGTGTGTGTGTGTGTGTGTGTGTGTGTGTGTGTGTGTGTGTGTGTGTGTGTGTGTGTGTGTGTGTGTGTGTGTGTGTGTGTGTGTGTGTGTGTGTGTGTGTGTGTGTGTGTGTGTGTGTGTGTGTGTGTGTGTGTGTGTGTGTGTGTGTGTGTGTGTGTGTGTGTGTGTGTGTGTGTGTGTGTGTGTGTGTGTGTGTGTGTGTGTGTGTGTGTGTGTGTGTGTGTGTGTGTGTGTGTGTGTGTGTGTGTGTGTGTGTGTGTGTGTGTGTGTGTGTGTGTGTGTGTGTGTGTGTGTGTGTGTGTGTGTGTGTGTGTGTGTGTGTGTGTGTGTGTGTGTGTGTGTGTGTGTGTGTGTGTGTGTGTGTGTGTGTGTGTGTGTGTGTGTGTGTGTGTGTGTGTGTGTGTGTGTGTGTGTGTGTGTGTGTGTGTGTGTGTGTGTGTGTGTGTGTGTGTGTGTGTGTGTGTGTGTGTGTGTGTGTGTGTGTGTGTGTGTGTGTGTGTGTGTGTGTGTGTGTGTGTGTGTGTGTGTGTGTGTGTGTGTGTGTGTGTGTGTGTGTGTGTGTGTGTGTGTGTGTGTGTGTGTGTGTGTGTGTGTGTGTGTGTGTGTGTGTGTGTGTGTGTGTGTGTGTGTGTGTGTGTGTGTGTGTGTGTGTGTGTGTGTGTGTGTGTGTGTGTGTGTGTGTGTGTGTGTGTGTGTGTGTGTGTGTGTGTGTGTGTGTGTGTGTGTGTGTGTGTGTGTGTGTGTGTGTGTGTGTGTGTGTGTGTGTGTGTGTGTGTGTGTGTGTGTGTGTGTGTGTGTGTGTGTGTGTGTGTGTGTGTGTGTGTGTGTGTGTGTGTGTGTGTGTGTGTGTGTGTGTGTGTGTGTGTGTGTGTGTGTGTGTGTGTGTGTGTGTGTGTGTGTGTGTGTGTGTGTGTGTGTGTGTGTGTGTGTGTGTGTGTGTGTGTGTGTGTGTGTGTGTGTGTGTGTGTGTGTGTGTGTGTGTGTGTGTGTGTGTGTGTGTGTGTGTGTGTGTGTGTGTGTGTGTGTGTGTGTGTGTGTGTGTGTGTGTGTGTGTGTGTGTGTGTGTGTGTGTGTGTGTGTGTGTGTGTGTGTGTGTGTGTGTGTGTGTGTGTGTGTGTGTGTGTGTGTGTGTGTGTGTGTGTGTGTGTGTGTGTGTGTGTGTGAAACAAATGATTCTTTAAATGTTCAGATTCTGGTTTATGATAAAAAAGTAACACCATATTGTGGTTTTTATGATAATCATGCGCTCCAGGAGTAGTTTTAAGAATATTAATCAGTGGTTATGATGTACCAATAACTTATAGCCAGTATATGATCTGTAATACAGTTTTGTCACCTTCAATATTTTTTTCGTGATCCTTTTATTTTTCTTTGCTTCCGCTGCAACAGAAACGAGGCCCACAACGCTCAGTGGATGTCATTGTTTCTGCCACTTTCTTCATTACTTTGCTGCTTGTGTCATATCTTTGCTTTGAACTGCTAAAGGAAGACGATAAGTCACAGCACACACTGTACAATTGCGAACTTTTCTTCTGGTATGTATTGCGACTCCTTTTCTTTTGAGGTTTCTGTTCCGTAGGGGGAGGTCGGGCAGTCGTATGACCATTGTAGCAAAGATAGATTCTTGCATGATTGAATCAGTTCATTAATACTTTTTTGCCTTCTCTGATGCAGCTCATCAGATAAGAAAGAGGTTTATGCTTGCTGTCTTTAACATATATGTTATTACAAGATTCAGTTTTATTGCACTTCTCCTTTTAATTATAATATTCCTTGACTTTTAAAGGTTTCTGGGTGTTTTACACACACTTTTCACATTCAGTGACATGTATAGTAGAATGCAGGGTGAAATAGGGTGGCTTTGTGCATGTAAGTTAGAGAACACATATATCCTTAGAGCCTAAAGCAAAAGATATGCTGTCCATAGATTAGTATAGTACATTGTCTTACATATTAAATAGCAGTTACAAAGCATCTCTTTTTAAACTCATTGAGACTAATACTCTATGTTAATTTACCAAGTGTATTAAATGTTTCAGGTGTTTTGCAATTGGCATCTACCTAATCCGCTTCATGACGTTGGGAGCAATGATCAACAAGAAGTACTCTAGCTTATCAGTACTCATAACTGAGCAGATCAATATGTATTTACACATGGAGCAAAAACCCCAGAAAAAAGATGAACTCATGTTAGCAAACAATGTTCTAAAATTGGTCTCTGTCCTGCTGAAGGTGAGTTAGGGTTTGATGGTAATAATAATGATTTAAAGAAGGCTAATATTGTATAGTTTAATGGAATAGTCTGGAGGTTTATGGAAGTGTCAACAAAGTTTTATTCTGTTGGATATACAATAACATTATGGGTAAAATGTTTGGATACAGATTTTTTTCCCCTTCTTCTTTTTGATTTACAAAATGATATTGGAATTATGAACAATCCAGAATGATGACATGGGTGTTGGATCTTTTGGAAGAGTTAGTGTGGAAATGTTGCAGTGAAAAAATAAACACACTACAAGGATCAAGGATAATGTAAAGTGCCTGTACTAAACCAGTACTGTATACATTTTATCATTCAGTCTTTGAACTGGAAGGAGGAAGTGTAGTCATCAAGAGATAGTACAAAAAAAAAAAAAAAATTTACATATAATTGATTTCAGGTGTTTTGGTGTTTGAATTGCAAACATATGAAAATTGGTTCTTAGATAACTAAGAAAGAAGTTATGTTGTAATTTTTACCAACCATTTCAAGTACAGATACTTTGCAATTTCAATATTTGATTTTTTAAAGAAGTAATAAATAATATTGACTTTAAATTCATATTCATCTCAATTTGGACTTTTTGACATATGTGTGTCCAATATAGATCCACTACATCTTAGTCTTTTAATACATTAACTCATAATGCAATACTTTATCATTTGCAGGAACTGGAGAGTCCATTTAAAATTTCCGGGCTTTCAGCGAATCCCCTGCTCTACAATATAACTCGCTTGGTTGTCCTCTCAGCTTGCTCTGGCGTTCTCTCAGACCTCTTGGGCTTCAAGCTCAAACTTCACAAAATTAAGTTTAAGGAGTGAACCTGTGCTTTCTGATGAAGAGAAAATCTAGAGGGCTGTCAATCATATAACCAATAGATGTAATTAAATATAAATTTACAGTACTTATCTGTAGATCTGACTAATGGTATTTTGCTTTAATCTATTAAGTAGCTTTGAGAGTATGCAAATGACATATCCAGTGTGCTGCCTTTTAGAGTGACAGCAATTTTTAAGGTCTCATTTAGATTTTAGATGAATTATGACCAATTCACCTATTGTAATATTTTGTAAAATTGACGATTTCAAAATGGTGTTCATTTTTTCATGTGTAAATGTGATATGGTTAGATACTTCATTTTACATTAGGAAGTTAGTTAAAAGTATTCCATGACAATAAGATTTTACAAGAACGAGAGAAAGAGAAGAAAGGAGAGGAAACAACTCAATGTGATAATAAAAGGGTGTGATGGCTATCTTATAAGTTTTAGAAGAGAGTGAGAATATGAGAGTATTTTGAATTTATGTAAAGTTCAAATATTAAAAAACATTTTAAGGCAGA